ACATGATCATATGAAATGATTCGACTGTAGCTTATAAAAGCAGATTTTCCTTTTTTCAAAACTTTGATCAATATTATCCGAGGTGCAACCATTAAATTTAGGGCAAATTGTCACCGTATCGATTTAATTCACTTTTCAACATTATCGATATCACGCAATGCTGTTACACAATCCAAAAATTTTGCTTCGACTTTGGTGCAGCTCTTGGGTTATTCAGTGCTTCATACTTGTTAACTCCACCGGTTAAAGCTCAATGTGAGTCTGATCAGTATACCTGGGATCCAGAAAGTGGAAATGGAAGGGCTGTTGTAATTAACATTGTAAATTGTAACTATCTACCACTTTGTCAGTATGTGGCATAGGTTTTATCGGAGGTATGTAAAGGCTATTCCGAGAGAAGGCGCCGTCGATGTAAGCGAGGCATGCGCGAGCGTACGAGCCCCAATGATCAATGATGCTCGAAGGATGCGCTCGCATACGCTGCACAAAGCGAATTGACCGCCTTTGCATGGAATAGCTTTATTCGACTCAAAAGTTTCGTAGTCCACTAATTGGCAGTAATCATGGAATTCTTTGCAGTTTGGTCCTCATTTATGCTCACCTTTGAGATGTTATTATTATCTGTTATTACCACATATGTAATGCGACCATCTCAATCGTTATTCTTCGACAAACACGGCAAAAGCGGAGGTAACTTGCACCGTCTAGACATTTTATTTGGAATAGTTTTTTGCAGAAGTGAATCAGTCTGTCAGTTTTGTGTCAACAGCTCAGTACCTGGAAACAGATCGAATTATCAATCAAGATTTGGGAAATGTGTTGAAAACCAAAACTCTTCCTTTCGTTTCTTGAACACAGACAATTTTCACCATTATACTTATAAGTGAACAAAGCAACAAACTTCCTTTCTATTTAACTAACGTGTGACCCTACGAAGAGATAATTGATAAACATGACTAAATATTAGCCTGTTTTTGCATACATAATCTAAATATTCTTTACTCAACTTCAACTCAACATCCTTAATGTCCCCTTAATCGTTTTGTATTTTAATAGATCTTCCATAAAATCGGATTGTGTTGTAATATTTATTATAATTAACCTGTAATCTGCACTAATTTTCCAAAGCCGCAAAGAGAACACAGCACACAAAACAATTATGATACAAAACTTGATATAACAGTTAGCACAACATTCCAAAATTCTACGCTTATAAAAGGGTGGATGGAGCAGAAAGAGAGAAGCTTTTGAGAAATGAATAGTACGAAGACACATTCAATCCGAGGAGGACTTGTTCAAAAGTATTGTCAGGTTGCAAAAACATTGTCAATTAATGCTTTGATTCATGACATAATTCCAGCCATCGAATGAGCCGCAAACAAGTATCTCAGATTTGAAAAATGATGCTCTATCATATTGAAGCAAAGGAGAAAAATTGCATTAAATACTGAATTATAGGGTTCAAGGATCGAAAATTGTTTGTGCTGCACTCCCTCCTAATTAAATCCATGTAAAGTCACTGCTTAAGTAGCTGTAGTTTCAGAAAAAATGGTTTTTTGCGCTTGACATTACTTTTGAATGCGATGTGTTTCAAACAAAATCGGTGTTCGTGAAGCTTATGTTTGCATTTCTCCTGTCCTTCTCTTACGTACCTGTATATTCTACACGCATATACAAAAACGCTCCATCTCTTGAGATGTGTAAAAGTCACAAGAATTTGTGCAGAAGTGCCGAGGAAAGAAGGATTCATTAGGAGCAAATCATTTTTTGAGTTGTAAAATTGCTGTTTTTTATGAACTAGTCGAAAAACTCAGATCCAGGAATGCTGCTTGTCCATCCATGTTCAAAGTACACAAAGTAGCTTACAACTGGTAAATTACTTTTGACCTCTTTCGGTGCACCTATGAGTATGGGCCATGCAGTTAAGCTTTCTGTGCTGGATGTGTTAAAAGTTGGTTAGTATCGTAAAAGAGGTAATAAGTGTCATACACGCTTTGATCAGTTTTCGAGAAACTTGTAAATGCCGGATGCAGTGAGTTCTTGGAAGAGTTATGGAGTAAGATAGTACTCCTCTCTGAATAAAACAGGAATTTGTTTGTAAATCCAGAATCCTTCTTTTCTCTATGATAATTATAAACTTGACGATAAAAGAAATCCTCAAAACTACGTGCATTTGTTGCACTTGTTGCAAACACATTTGTGTTGTGGATGGGGTGCTGCGTTCATGAATTCCTTGAATAATTTGTTGTTAGCTGCTCGAATGGTGTGCGCATCGTCTCCCTCTTCTCCGTCAATGTTTGATGCTCAAAATGGAGAATGTTTTATCTTTTTTGCTTATTACTGATAGCTGAAGACTAACCATCAGATTGTCGCCTTGATTTTTCGTTGCTATCTTCAAAGATGATAGGTAACCCCGACGAAGTCTTTGAATTGCGTCGAGATTCTTCCGGCTGCTTCGCAGTCATCTCCAGCGCATCAGGTGCCGAGTGTCGCTTATGTTCTTTGTATTCTTCAGATGGGCTATCTGGTGGTGATGAAGGATGTCTACGACGGGATTGGCATTCTTCTGTTGTCGTGGGCACTCCCGCCGGCGTGGGCGGAGTTAGGTTGAAAGCGGGCGGAGTTTGCTGGCCATGTAGATGAGGGAAAGAATAGTCACAGCGTTCCAACGATGAGATGCTAAAGTTACACACGCTTAGGCAGCGGCACAATTTTTGGAAGATTGAATCCCAAAATATGTGAATGTAAACTATGTAAATGACTTATAAATCCATGCAAGCCTGTTTCGTTCAAAGGTGAAAAAATCAAAACTTTCTGAATATAGCTAACATGTTAGCTGTATTCTTCCATGGATGGAAGCTTGCAAGGGTTCTGAGAGCTTTCCCAGAGATTTGAAGGACATGCCACTTTCTTCCAAATGGAAATGTAGTCTTTCCCTTCTTCAACCCTTCCCCCTCCCCCACTTTCCTCATTTGCGAAGAGGACCGATTTGAAAATTCGTCATCTTCCCCCCCCC